TGTGTATAGAATGAACTCAACCTGTAAAAATAGAAATGTCAATGTGATGACAGACATATTCAATGCAATATAAACCCTGTAGGAAATATTACTGATAAATGATACTGTGAAACATATTAATACATTCTTCATAAGGCAGATTATATGGTAGCAATAAAAGAATCTCTGAATCCCAACAGAGGGCAGGGTCAAGGTTCGGCCCAATACTGGTTACTTTTTAATGTTAGATTTAACTAAATATAAAGCGTTTTAAGATAAAGGACAAGTTAAGTCTTGTTTTGTGCAGGGCTGATCAAATTTTGTCAGTACCATACTAATTAATCTAAGCCTCTGGACTTCTTTAAGTTTCTTGAAGATGTTTCACCTCTCCCACATGGCTTATAAGTCTGGGACTCTCCACCATTTGATCTTAGAACTGAAGAAGCTTCTCGGACGAGACGTGAAACGTCTTCAAGACACTTAAAGAAGTCCAGATGCTTTTCTTTCCAAGCTCCTTAGACTACGATGACCTGGTGGACTGAGAAACTTCAGACACACTAATTCCTCCTTGCCAATTATCAGCTTACTAGAATTGTGTAACAAAATGTGCTGAATGTCATATAATTAACAAGAAAGCAGAGAAACTAAGGACTTATGGTTTGAGGCATAAACTTCTTAACAAACTGATTTGAATTATTCTCTCCTCTGTTTGTGATTTTTAGGAGCCGTCTTCAGATTGAGACCTCAGTGGCAGTTAATGACATGATGGACATGCCATCTATTTGAAATGCTGATTTATTTTTTTAAATATATTTGGCACGCAGACTGGGGGGAGCCAGGATCAAACCACCAACCTCCCAGTCAGAAGATGACCCGCTGCACTTCCTGAGCTACAGCCACCCCAAATTAACAATATAAGTCTCTTTAGTAATTAATCAAATAACAATGAATTTCACAAATTCCTCCTTTTTTTTTAACACACCAAAAACTCACGATTAATAAAAAGCAGTTATGTGAGTAATGCGCAGGTGCTCATCACATCCATGAACATGATTGGACTTCTGTGCCGCTCCTCTCCACCTGTACTGAAATTCACCTGCCCTGCTTCAGGTGTCTCAGTGCAGCAGCTCCACCTACTGGTCAGAGCAGTGAATCTCAGTGTAAAGAAACAGTGTTACTGAACAGGAGATCAGCCTCCTCATCATCATCACCTCCTTCTTCTTCGTTTTAATTTCAAGCCATTCCCTGGTGAAATCTTCTGACCTGTGATCTCCTCTCACTTTCCACAGGTACACCTGATTGGCCAGCCTCTACGCCTCTCCGAGTCATGTGACTGGATCACGTGAAGAAGCGTTTCTGTTTCCGTGACATCAGTTCAGTGGTGTTCTGTGTATGTTTGATATCTCTGCCTGGACGTCGAGCCAACTGCTCCGACCCTCGCTGGACCGGATCCTGGTCCCGTTGGGTTTTGCTGGTTCTGGGCGGTCCCGTTGGCCAACAGGTGCTGCTGGGATGCAAGTGGGCAGAGCTCACAGTGACGTACCTGCAGGGACGACTAGGTGACCTCTGACCTCTTTTGGAAGGACGGGCTCAGCTCCGGATGACATCACACCATTACCTGGATGCGTCTCAGCTTCACCTGAAATAAAGAGAACACTGGATGAAGGAGTGCCAGCCAATCAGAGGGCAGTATTCAGACTGCTTCATTGTACTGACTGAGTGACAGGCTCCTCCTCCTCAGTGTGTCTGTGTGTAAATACTGTACAGAGGAACTATTTTAAAGAGCCTGTTGGATGATGTTGGATTTCCTATTCTTCTCTTTGTCTGGTAGTCTCTGTTTTTCTACTGTTGTTGATCTGATATTAAACCTGTAGCTGGTGGAGCAGCGCTCGAGCTCAGTGACACTGATCTCAGAGAAATTATTTTACTGCTATTGTTCATATTACCATGGCATTAATAACATAATCTACAAGTATTGATAGTGCATTCAGAGGTTTAAACATATTGGCACCCAATTAATTAGCCTTTAGTACAGGAGCAGTGTTAACCACTTTAAACTGTTGAGTTGGATCTATAATCTTAAATGCTTTTGAATGCTTTTTATAATCTTGAATGTTTATATGCAGAGTGTGAGTGACGTGGAGCTTAGAAGGTTAGTCTTACAGCAAGAATAGTAGCTGAGCAGAGACCTGAGTGTATTCAGCAACCTGCTGTGTTTGAGTTTGCTTGGTAACAGTTGACTGAGAATAAGTCAGGAAGTATACTTCTAAAGTGTCTTTGTTTCCTCTGTAAAGTGTGCATTTTGGTTGCTATTTTGAGGAGTGGTGTTGGATGATGCTACTTGAATAACCAAGTTATTCATTATTATCTTTTATATTCTTTTATTAAGTTTTAAGTAGTATCATTTGATTAAAACATTTATTCAATATATTACATATAGTTTCAGTTGTGCTGGCCTTCTGTCTGGGGAAAAGGTTACAAGGTTTAGCTGGTGAGGGGAGAGGTGAAACTGAGTGCATGTCAGGTCGACACACATAAGTAGATAGACTCATTTGTAGGTAAAAGTTTAATCATGTTATGCCTGTCGCTGCGAAATTGAGTTTGCAAAAGAACAGTTTGTTGCAGAACCGCTGCTGATGTTCCAAGACGATAAACGGGCGTCGGGCAGCGACAGGATGCACCTGCCGTGGAGACGGAGACCATGTTCTTTCAAACTGTGTTAAAAGTCATTGTGGTTTTGATTTGACGTATGCATGTATTGTATCTGCTTGAGGCATGAGGGGGCGTCAGTAAACATGCCCTGATGCCATAAAACCTTTCCTGTGTAGTTTTTTGGGCGGAGATCTACAGCTGATGTTATGCGGTGTACATCTCCCCACGCTGATGAATGAAAACGATGATTTCATTAAAATCATCGTTTTGACTACTCCAGCCGGACCAGTGTTGTTATTTGGATTTCCTCCTATATCCCTCCTTAATATTTGAACCTTAACACCAGTCAATAAATTTGGACTGTAAAACTTACCAAAGACTGTGACATAAACCAGGACGTGTGTTGCTTATATATGAAACCCAAGAGAAGCATCTCATCTGCATGTCCTGTGAACCTAGAACAGAGGCAGACAGACGAGCACAAAAACTCGGATGAAGGAAATTTGAGAAGGACCACACCCTGACTACTTCTTTAGATTACATTACCCACAGTATTTAAACATGAATACATTTGATCCGAGTGGTAAAAAGTAGCATTTTGCTTTCTTTTCAACATATGACAACAGAAGGACAGCCCATCTTAGTTGAAAGCCCACTCACCACGACAAGGTGCGGGCCACGAGTGGGAACACGGGACAAGACAAACTAAGACAGGGCAACATACAGATATACATATACTTCATACACATCAACAATACAAGACAAAAAGGTAAACAATAACAATTTATTAACAATAACATTTTATGTTAACAGTTTGAATTTTAAACACTGAATGCAAACTCATTAGAGCAAAACGTACTCTCATTTAAATGAACTGGGGCCTGTTGTGTGTTTGTTGTTGGTATGTGTTTGGCTGGAAAGCTGAGCCATCAGTGTGTGTACAGCTAATGAGAATAAAAGGGAAATGCCACAGAATGCTGAGTCGTGGTCGTGTCGTGCCTCCGACCTGTCACAAATTCCTATCAGCAATTACAAAAGTAGCAAACAGTGGCAAGAGACCTGTTTTCTGTTTCTTCTGCTGATGATTCAGTCCTGTTTATGTGGACTGTAAACCATGGGCAGCAGAGGAATAACTGGCAGTAACTGATAACGACAGCTAGGACTGAACAACTAGTGATTTATTGTAAGTTAAATATAAATTTAGTTATATTCTTTGACCAGATATATATCCATCTCAATTCTAATCTAAAATACAATATATTGTATTTTAGTTGTTATATATATACACAATATATATAACAAATGTAGTGCTCTCCACTATGTGAACCCCTCACCTGAATTGTTCACTAAAGTAAACACACAGAGCAGTAGCAGATTTTTTTAATGTGTTTTATTTATTTTCATTTGCTGCTAACTGCCTTGTTTTCATTTGTAGTTTTTGTAGTAGGAAGAACTACAAAATCCACAAATAAACAAAGTGCAGTTAACAAATGTAGTGCTCTCCACTATGTGAACCCCTCAGCTGAATTTTTAGGTTTTTCAGTTCAAGCCAATGAAATGAAATCCAAAAATTCAACCCAACAATCAAATGATCCCCTATGAGCAAGCACTCTGGCAACGGTGGAGAGGAAAAACTCCCTTTTAACAGGAAGAAACCTCTGGCAGAACCAGGCTCAGGGAGGGGCGGTCTTCTGCCATGACTGGTTGGGAGGTGAGGGGCAAAATAAAATCAAACATAAAGGAGAGCACAGCGTATTTATGACAGGTCGGTGGACTGTGGCTCGAGTTTAAAAGATGCTCGAATCCCGCCTGAGGTGCTATGGACACGTGATTCGAAGCGATGACTACTCAGCAAAAACGACTATTAAGGATCGACCCAGACGGCGCCGGCCTCGAGGCAGACCGAAAAAACGGTGGATGGACAAAATCAAGGAAGACATTAAGACCATCAACGCGTCACCTGAGGACGCCTTGGACAGAACCAAACGGAGAAACCTTTGCTGAGGAGCGGACCCTGCACCAGCGGGAACAACGCCAGGATGAAGGTGGACTGTGGCTGGAAAACATCATTACTGTTTTTAAAGGGTAACTGGTCCACATCCACAATTACAGCTGTAATTGTGGATGTGGACCACGATCCACAATTGTCGATGGGACGTGTGCATGCAAGCACACGCAAGCGATCCCCGCTCTGTGGGTTCATGACAATAATCACGACCCCACAGAGCGGGACATTCGCTTCAGCCGAAAATCTTAGAGGCGACCCAGAAAGCTGCAGGAAGAGCAATGACACATCCGGCAGCAGTTAAACCTACTTTAAGTAGGTTTAGACCCCACGAACCAGGCGATTCTCTTTCTGTTGTCTCTTGTTCATGTACCGCTGGGCGCTGAAGATTTTCCACAGTTTGTCTGAGTTCTGCCATCTCTTGCCTCAATTGTGCGTTTGCTTGCCCGAGTTGTGCGTTTTCTTGACTGAGTTGTGCGTTTGCTTGCCCGAGTTGTGCGTTTTCTTGACTGAGTTGTGCGTTTGCTTGCCCGAGTTGTGCGTTTTCTTGACTGAGTTGTGCATTTGCTTGCCCGAGTTGTGCGTTTTCTTGACTGAGTTGTGCGTTTGCTTTCCCGAGTTGTGCGTTTTCTTGACTCAGTCGTGCGTTTTCTTGACTGAGTTGTGCGTTTGCTTGACTGAGTTGTGCGTTTTCTTGACTGAGTTGTGCGTTTTCTTGACTGAGTTGTGCGTTTTCTTGACTGAGTTGTGCGTTTTCTTGACTGAGTTGTGCGTTAGCTTGCCCGAGTTGTGCGTTTTCTTGACTGAGTTGTGCGTTTTCTTGACTGAGTTGTGCGTTAGCTTGCCCGAGTTGTGCGTTTTCTTGATTGAGTTGTATGTAGTTTTCACTGAGTTGTGCGTTTTGTCCACTGACTTGTCCGATAAGTTGACTTAATTCTATGCACATTTGACTGAGTTCTGCGTTGGCTTCCGTGAGTTGTACGTGTTCTTCCCTGAGTGCATCTGCCATACGCTGCAGTGGGTCTAACTGATCTCCGTTTCCCTGTGACATTTCTTTAAAGGTTTAAAGCTCAAAAGTGTCAAAAAAGTTAAATCTCTGAATGATGTAAATGCAAAGGTCAGCTTTGTCTAAGGTCAGCTTTGTCTAAAACAACTGGCTCGTTCTGATGTAAACTGTTAAACGACCTCCTCTATTTATAGACTTGGTGGGTGTGGCA